TATCAAAGGTTGTTGATTATTATTATAATTGTCATTATGTTGTTGTCATTACGATTTCTATCTTGCTGTATCTTTACCATGTTTAATAGAGTCCTGCATTGAGAAGTGGAGTTAATTATTATCCAATTTAACCAGGACCTTCCCTCACAGAAGTTTGGCCGTTTTTGCTCTACTCGGAAGAAAAATCCGTCAATATTCAATAAGGAGGAAAAAGGTTTGTTTGGACTTCAGTTCAAAATCAGTTCTAAATTGGACTGCGCTTGCGCATTTGGTCATATCAAACCTATATTAAGAAATGCGAAAGCGTAGTTCAATTCTGAACCGAAGTCCGAACAAATCTAATATTGAAAATATTGACATTGGAAGCACTATTCTGAAAGCTGATTTGATTACAGAAACCTTTATTATAAATAGTTCGGATCGCATCCACCGCCCGTGACGGCGCATTGTTCCCCAAAATTTTATTAGGCAGTTTGCCTTCTATCCGTAAGGATATGTATTCTGTGTTTGCAATCCCTGATTCAAATTATTGAATAAAAATGGAATATCTCAAAATTTGTCAAAATATAATGAAAAAGTAAAAGTGAAGCGACGCTGCCACATGTCAAAAGCATGGGATATTTGTTTTGAAAAAGAAATGTAATTTCAAATCTTACTATTAGCAATTATATGTTAGCGAGGTACACGGCTTTTTTTTCATATTGTTGGAAGCTTTTTAAAACAAATAAAGAATAATCTGGACTTTTTATCTATAAATCTGACAACAGCATTGGACGACAGCGCCTCTGCCGTCTGTAGTCGCAAGCTTTTAGCGGAACAAATTGCGCCATTAGGCAATTCAAACCACGTGACACTCAAGATGGCGAGGCGGCCACACATGGGCCAAAAAAATATCTAGTTTCTGCCCGATTCATTAGTTTAGGTTCCTAGTCAACAAATATCGTATTAAATAATCAAAATCAAAGTTACAAGCAAAACTATAAGCAAAATAATTTAAAATACACATAAAAACATATTCAAAACAAGCTTGCTTGGCCGCCACGCCATATCGAATTTTCCTTTTTGACAGATGGATTAAATTGCCTAATAAGAGTTGCACATGCATGGTCTAAAGGCCGTTTTACAGCTTGCAAGAAAACTTGAATGCAATTTGTTGCATGCAAAAAAATTGCATTCAAGATTTCTTGCACATCGTTTTACACCTTGCAATTTGACTTGTTTCCTTCTATAACAGCGGTTCCTAACCGGTGGGTCGCGACCCCTAAGGGGGTCGCATAGGGTTTTTGGAGGGGTCGCAATGCCAATATTAATATACAGGGTGGTCCATTTAGCCTGAGACAGTCTAATATGTCGAAAAAGGCGCGTTTAAAAAAAAGAGTTCAAATAAAAGTTGAAAGAGTCAAAAATCATTGCCATCATTTTCTTTTCCCCGTGACACCATAGCTTCTATTTGTTTTTTTTTTTTTCAAAAACGCGTCGTTTTCGAGATAGATTATCGCAAGAAAAAAACGTATCCACTTCCGCCATATTATTACTACACTTCTGTCTGAGATTCTGTCACTTTTGTCATAGAAACGTGTCAGAATTGCATCAGGGCCGCATTTTCCATCCGAAGATCCAGAATTCCTATTTTGGGTCTTGGGAGGATCTCCTGTTTCAGTATGTTGAAGTTTCTGTAGCAACTTTTTGTTTCTTGGTGTAATCTCGATTTTTTCACGTTTTTAGATTAAAATTATAAAGAATCCATTTATTGTCCGTCGTTTTTAATCTGACAGTTTTCGTATGAGGAGCGAGGGGGTAAAGCTTATGGCAAAAACAAGTGTGACGTCAGGTGGCCATAGGCGTTCTAATGTAAAGAGCCACCAGCTCATATTCCTTTGGAGTATCAGATTAAAATCGACAGACTTTAGTTCGGCTCTGTTCCAGTAGCCATATTGTTCCTACACTTAGCCACGCCTACCGATTCCCGTATCTAGTGCACTATTCAAATGATAACAGCTTCTCATTATTTCTACCTCATTGATTAGGATAAACGTTCAACTCATTGAAAAATAGGTGGGCCACTGGAAATTACCGTTCTAGAACGGTCCTCATGTCGTGTTTGGAACAGAGCTATAGTCTCACTCAATACATAAGTTAGGTTTTCAGGGCGGGTAATGCGGGCATTATAAAACTATTTTGACCAGGGGTGGATGGGCAACTTTAAGGGCGGGTATTATAAAACTGCTTTGACAGTTAACTTGAAGTTAACTTTTTGAATTACATGTAATTTCAGAAGTTAACTTTAAGTTAACTTTCAAAGAAGTTTTATAATACCCGCCCTAAATCAGCCCGGGACAGTTTTTGCTGAAGCAGCCCCGTGGGGGGATGTGTAACGCTGGAGGCGAAGATACCCAAACATTTTTCCTTTGCAAAAAAGTGTTTAAAAATAGGGTATTAAATAGTCTATTTTTAAAGAAATAAAAAACCTACCTTTATTACTCAAAAATACGAAAGCGTATAGCGTATAGCCATCCAGATATTGTAAAATATTTTCAATATGTTCAAGTTTACACTTTTTCTGTTTATAATCAGACATTACCATATTTACCGCAATTGGGGTTGGTTCGCAATTTTATTCAGACATTTTTAAGTTTGGTAATGTCTGATTAAAATTCCAAATTAACCTAAATTAACCGGGTTATTCTTGGTAAGTTTGAGTTTGGTAATGTTTGATTACAATAAATTGCAAACTAACACAAATTTTGAAAACATGATGGTTATGTTCGATCAAAATAGCAAAGTTGCCCAAACTAATCGGGTTATTTATCGGTACGTTTGATTACAATTGCAAACTAACCCATACTAACCGCGGTTAGTATTGGTAAGTTTGAAAATATCTTAGTAAAATTGCAAACTAACCGGGTTATTATTGGTAATGTGTCTGATTACAATTGCAAACTAACACAAACTAACCGAGTTATTATTGAAAAGTTTGATTATGTCTGATTAAAATTTCGTACTTAACGGGTTATTATCGGTGAATTTGGAAGACTCCCCGGTAATGTCTGATTAAACAGAGAAAGTGTGTTTACAGAAAAAGTGTAAATTTTACTGAAAATATTTTCCAATATTAGATGGCAGCTCTACGCCTTGTGCAAATCGGTAAAAAACCAAAACCGCTTTCTGCGCCTTGAGTGATTTTCTTTCAATCAAGCATTGTTTGTTATCGTATTTTATTTTTTCCTAAACCGGCCCACTTGGCTCTCTAGCCCACCGGGAATCGTCCCGGAGTCCCGCCTGAGTCCATCCGCCCCTGATTTTGACAGAATAACTAAAATTCAACTTATGGGGCCTTATTCTTGAAACCGGGGAGCAGCGTTCCCAGGAGAACGAGTGTTCCGTCTTTGTAAGTTATATTGTTATTTGCATATTATCATTGAGAAAGACGGAACATTCGTTCTCCTGGGAACGCTGCTCCCCTGTTTTAAGAATAAGGACCCTGGAATATCGTTAGAGGCAGACAGATAGATGAATGAGTTGCACCGGTGCACATTTCTTGATTATTTTGGTCAAGTAAATGAAGATTTCAGAGGGGAATACGGGTCTTGTTTACACCACTGATGCAGCCCTACCATGACCCTTCCTCGAGCAGCTGACCTCTCCCGGCTCATGGGGGTCTTGTCATCACAACAACCATCGATTTATGAATGAGATGTGATGTCTATCTGTGTTGAGATGTCATTGGATTGATCTATTTTTTATTGAAAAAAATTTATACCCACATGTGCTTAAAATTGGCAAAATTTTGGTCACCAAATATATTTTTCTTCGCTTTTGGATTGCCTTAGCGGCGCTTAGGGGGCGCCGGATAGAAGTCTCCCTCCCTAGGGAAAGTCATATCGCTACGGCCCTGTAATCTTAGTGGTTTATGGGAAATAAAACAGGAGTATAATTTTTATGTGTCTGTATTCCATACCTTCCAGTTTCCCTAAAGACCTTTTCAAATTTTCCCAGGCAAAAACATCATTTTTTTTTTCTTCAAATTACACTGCCTCCAGCCCCAGCCTGCTGTTTTTTGTTGTTAATTATTGTTTATTTTGTGATTATAAGTAAATTGGCCAGCCAGGGGTCACTGACCTACGTTAAAGTCGGTAAACAAAAATCGCTTTTATCGTTTTCGTACTCTATGCTGTGCCGGATTAGTGCAGATGTGCAGATATCGATCTCTTTGTTTAATTCGCATTTATAGACAAGGAAAGAAAATTGTCGATACTAGTCGATACTTCAATTAATAGATGTCGTTCTCCTCAAGTTTCAAGGCGAAGGTAGAGCTGTATACCAAAGTCGATACGCAAAGCGATTTTGATAAATATATGCCTTCTTTTTTGTCCGATGTGTTCAAAAAGAAAAAAAAAATATTCGTTTGGAACATGGAAATTTGGCAAACCTTAGACAAACAGTGATTTTTGATTGGTGCAAAATTATACCGCAAAATTCAAATAATCTGATTTTTTTTCTTTCAATTTTTGACTCCAAGATTTTTTAAAAAATTAACCAACCATACTTTTATGTAGTACATCAAATACACTTTCGTTACAGATAAATTATATACCTAATTTTAATTGAGTGCAAGAGGTCCAATGGACCTAAAATTACTATTGTGTCTATTTTTCGTAGTTATTCAATAAATTTAGCATCACGATCGTCGACCATAGCATCAGAATCCGATTGGTTTGCTAGCTCAAACCTTCACAAACAAGTAAATTATCATTCCTGCCGAGTCTTGATTACTCTTGATGGCTAGCCTTTATGGGAAACATTCTGTCATTGATGTGAGCCAATCCCCTTTCTCTGATTTTAACTTTACGACACATCAAAGTAGAATCTTTTGTCCAATTGACAGGTTTAATTTAATGCAAAACAAACAAAATTGATTTAAATTGCTGGTACAGAAAAAAAAGTTTATCTACTTATTGATCGAGGTCGATGCCCTACATTTCAGTATACCTATACGTGGTCAAAATTGTGGAGAAGGAGAGCAAGGAGCCAAATAGATAAGACAATATAGGTGAAAACAAAAACACCATTTAATATCAACAAAATAAATAAATCGAAATTTCTACGAGCTGGCTTCAGAGTATTTCCCTTTCCAAACCTGTAAAGCAACCTGCTTCAACTGCTCAGTCATCGAAGCTCCAGTTTCTTGGACCATTTTCAAAAAGTGACCGTCAGACTTTTGTAAAAGGAGATGAGGATGATCAAATTCCAAGACTTGTCCAGAACCCATTACTAGGACCTTGTCAGAGTCCATGATGGTATTTAACCGATGAGCTATAGTTAAAACTGTGCAGTCTTTGAATTTTCGCCTAATAGTCGTTTGAATGAGTCCGTCAGTTCTTGCGTCTACATTTGCGGTGGCTTCATCCAAAACTAAGATTTTATTGTTACGTAAAAGGGCTCTTGCTAGACATAGAAGCTGTCTTTGGCCTACACTAAAATTACCACCTCCTTCAGACACTTGAAAATCCAAGGAGTTTGCCACGTCTTTGAGTTCGACTTCCTGTAAAACTTCCCATAGACGACGATCTTCAAATTCATCGAAAGGGTCTAAGTTGTATCGAAGACTGGCGCTGAATAAAACAGGTTCCTGGGGGATAATGGATATTTTCTTTCGTAAATCATTGAGGCCCAAAGTCTTGGTGTCTACTTCATCGATGAGAATGCTACCTTCAATCGGTGCTAGGTGGAATAGGGCAGAAATAAGGGAGGATTTACCTGCACCTGTTCTACCAACAATACCAATCTAAAAATATATGTATTTTACATTTTTGAATGTGATAAATAATTGTCATAATTGGGAACCTACCTTCTCTCCAGATTTTATTTTAATATTAAGATTTTTTAAAACTGGTGGTTCACCTCGGACATAGATAAGGTTCATGTTTCTGAATTCCACATTTCCTTTAGGTGGAAAAGGTTCCTTAGGAACTTTGTCTGAAATTAAATAAACTTCAATGGTTGCACCTACTGGAAAAATAAAAAGTTACCTTTTGGTGTAATGAAAGGACCTTCAGTCTCCAATTTAGTATATTGCATAACTCTATCCACACTGGTCAATTGACTAATAACTTCGGCAGTTTGGCGCATACCATGCTGAAGCATTCCTGTCAAAATTAGACATTGGGATATGGCTAAACCTACTAAACTACCATTTTCAATGTAGCCAACTAAAAATGAAATTAATTTCCATCATACCTTTCTGTACGATCGTAGTCAGATAAATAAAAATAGATTAAAAAAAAAAATACTCACATTCAGCAGCAACAACAAACCCAAAAGTTACGATACAAGTGAAAATTACACATATTATATCGAGCCAGAGTCCAAAAGATACTACGCACATTATAGTGAAAAACCAAGCTGAAGTATGGATATTCTAAAAAAAAAATATAACGTTAACTAATCCAAATATTTGCTTTGTCCAAGAAAAACAACGTTTTTTTTTTTTGGAAAATATAGCTTATTTTGATTTGAAATTAACCTGGAAAGATGTCACATCCCTCTACGTCTAGGTTCGCTTTGAAATTAAACATTGAGCGATGCAACGCAAACCTACGTTATTTAAGCAGTTAGCTTATATACCTGGTGATCATCAAACTCTCCTATAAGTGCTATCTCAGCTTGTGAAGCCCTTATAGTAGTTAAGCCATTCAAAGTGGAACTAATATGAGAAAAAACTGGACTTTTTGCAATCCCTTCCAAATGCTTGATATCCTTTGCACTTGCAATGTACCAATTACGTAGTTTTATAAAAATAGCTCCCAGAACAACAATGGCTATTACCATATAATAGTTAGAGATAATTATATTTATTAGGATACCAGTCATGACTAATACTATCTGTAGAAGAAAAAAAATAATAACTTCAAAATATTACTAAGTGTTTCGTTATATTTACAGTCACTGCATCCATCAAAACTCTTGGCAAGACTTCATCGATAGCTCCCATGTCTTTGCTGAACCTATTGAGCACTCTTCCGCTGGGGTTTGTATCAAAAAACCTCATCGGAGCCTCCAATAAACGACCAAACATATTTCTGTGAATATTTGTCGATGATCGCATTGCCATTTTATAAAAGAACATGGCTCTGCTTATCGTGGAAATGATCACACTAACAATGAGAAAGACGTAAATGTAAATCGAAACGTCATTTTTAAATAGGCGATAATATTTGTCGTTACTGTCGATAACATCGTCAAAAATATCATCCAGAGTGAGCCTAGTGGAAAAACATGCAAACAGATTTGTTGATTCGTGTGAGCGATTCATTTGAGCCACGTAACGGATTTCTTCTTGACTTGACCTAAAATATAATTAGATATATGTATTTATGACCATCACATGAATATTAGATGAAACGTATCTATTGCGTTCCTATTTGAGAGACTGAGTGTTGGATCAACTAACATCCAACCGCATCTACAGCAAGAGGTTTAAGAATCCGAAAGCGAAAGCGCATCATTGCATTTTTGGGACTTGGATATGAAAGGATATTATTTTAAGTAAGTACTACTCACCAATATGCCACCCAATAATCCGCAGAAGTACAAGCGATTAAGGACAGTAAAAATAAAATTCCAACCAAAATAATTAAACAGATACTTCTCACGGCTTTAAAATAGTCTCTTAATGGGGTGGATCCTTCATAGTCCATTTTTTCATCATTATCATCGTCTCTAATTGTTTGGTCAAAATTTGATTCCGGCAAACTCTATAAAAAAAAAAATCTTCACCACTTTAATGGACCATTAAAAAAGCCGACATACCCTTATTGATACTTTCCTATTTACGTGACCATTTTTAATTTCCTGTACAGTTGCTACATGGAGGTCCTGGTCTGTTTTACTATCCTCTTGGCTTTCGTCAGCTGCAGCCAGCAATTTGGTAAAATCAAGTTTACTATTGCTAAGTTCCTCAAAGGTTCCTTGAGCTTCTATTTTGCCTTCATTCAGCACCACAATTAAGTCAGCTTTTTTGAGATACTGCAGTTGATGAGTGACTAAAATCCTAGTTTTTTCGCTTAAATATTGCACTATACATTCTTCAAACAGGTGTTTGCCCACATGGGTATCTACAGCTGATAGTGGATCGTCTAAAAGGTATATATCAGCTTGTCTGTAGATGGCTCTTGCTAAATTTATTCTAGCCCTTTGGCCTCCGCTTAACGATACTCCTCTTTCGCCTACCATGGTTTTGTCACCGTAGGGAAACTGTTGAAAATCCTTTTCTAATGCGCATACTTTGGCTACTTTATGGTACAAACGGGGTTCATAGGGTTTTCCGAAAAGTATATTTTTTCTCACCGATGCTGCAAAAAGCCAAGGCTCCTGTGAGGAATATGAAATGCTGCCACCAACGCTGATATTGCCGGAAGTTGGCGGTAATTCTCCAAGGAGTAGCTGTAATATGGAACTTTTGCCAGCACCAACTGGTCCAACCACAGCACATAATTTGCCTTTAGGTACTTTGAGCTCTATATCTTTTAAAATAGGATTTCCAGGCACCCAGGCTGCAGTGAGTTTATCGACAATAATTTCGCTATTTGGATTTTTTTCTATTACAGATTCTTCTTTTTCGTCTAACATTAAAATTTCTTCTAGACGTTTAATTGCTACCCATGATTCGGCACCTAGACTCACAGCCAATGGGTAGATGATTGCCATTGCGACTAAAATAATACTTTTTTGTTAAACAAATGGTTGGTTTTTGATTGATTGATGGTCATTTAAAGTATTAGATGCATGAGCCTATATCTTGTAGGTAATACATACTTAATTGCACGAAATGTAAAACAAAGGTTATATTAGTGAGAAGGTCGATAACTGCTACAAGAAATGTAGAAGCAACGAATTTTGAATTATACTGTCACGGCTCTCTGGTAAGTGACAGAAATCTGTGGTTCGTTTATTCCTAAATCAAAGTCCAATTAACACAACAATAATTTATTCCACGTTACTACACACTCTGACAGTAATTACTTCACTAAGTAACTCAAACAGCTAAACCTCTTTACATCTCTCAACAATAATTACTATCTAAATCATATCACAGTCAATCTTAACCCGGCATTACACGCGCCAAAAAACTTACGTCGTTACACGCGTTCGGTCAAATCGACCGACTGCCCAAAAGTTTATATGAATTGTTAGCTTTTCTCGCGGAAATGATCCCAAACGTATCCTGAACGCTAAGGCATGACCTACGCAAGTTTACTAATCAATAGAGCCATGAAACTTTCAAATATTAGCTTGGTAAGTCATGCCTTAGCGTTCAGGATACGTTTGGGACCGTCTCCGCGAAAAAAGTGTACAAGCACTATAATTCCTAGAATTCATAATTATTACAAAGGGAATTATATTATGCAGTACAGTTACCGTATTATCGACAGCCAAAAGTACTCCCAATATCAGAAAATGCCAATTTTGAACACAAATATTTCCGATACTCAGGTTCACGCGTCTAGTCAAAAGCACCGACTATGAAAATAACGAACCCTTCTTCAACCAAAAACCAAAATATCTTTGGGCCAATGGGTAGTGGAAAACCTGCATCAGGCATTCCTGGATGGACAAAACTGTCACCCTTGTACCAGTGGCGTAATTACTGATTTTATCAATGGTCGGTCCTTTTGACCGGCACGCGTGTACTCCCGGGTTAAACCTAAAAACTACTAACTAATACCAGCCTTTATATATCCGTAACCTATTCCTGCAAAATCCAGAATAAACGCGATACACCTTTCTGCCGAAGAGCAACGTAAAATCTAGAATCAGTTGTTCAATTCTGGTCACCCTGGCGGAAGCGCCACTTTCTATGACACTGCCGTCCTCTTAAGATCAACTTCGCGCCTATGATATTTCGTTAATCTATTCAAATGTACAACTTTCATCTTACCGCTGGTGTTGCGCCGAACTCGATAAACCAAATCAATAATCCTCTTGATTATTCTGTAGGATCCTTCCCATGCTGAAGACAATTTCGGTGACACTTTCCTGTTGGATTATACAGACACACCAAATCACTTTCTTGAAATCCGGCTGAATTGGCTTTCAAGTCGTATCTGATCTTCATTCGGTCACTGGCCAGCTGAATATGCTCTCGAGCAAAATCATGTATCCCCAGAAGTCTTGCCCTTACCTCGTCGGCATAATCCCGAATTTCTTTCCGTTCTCCTTCAGGTTTTCCAAACATCAGATCGCAAGGTAACCTGAGTCCCTTCCAAAAACAATTCCAGCTGGCCTTTCACCTGCTGACTCGTGAATAGCTGCTCTGGAAGTCATTAAAAATACAGGCAAGTATTTGTCCCAATCTCGCTGGTTCTTTGCGACCACTTTTGTCAGGTGTTCCTCCATGATCTTATTGAATCGTTTTACCATGCCATCAGACTGTGGATGTAAAGCTTGTCTTATGAATGCCCATGATCTCATAAATCTTCTTAAAGATGGCAGATTCAAAGTTTCGTCCCTGATCTGAATGCAACTGTAGTGGCACTATATGACGACTGAAAACTTCGTCCACTAACCCCTGGGCAATAGTGATGGCTTCTTGATTGGGAATAGCGGAAACTTCTGGCTATTCACTGAAGTAATCCATGATAACCAATATGTATTTGTTACCACGCTCTGACCCAGGAAACGGTCCGGCTACATCTATCGCTATTCTTTCAAATGGAAGACTGACGTTGTACTGTTTCATGTGCCCCCGAGATCTTAGTTTAAGGCCTTTACTAGTAGCACAAGTGTCGCATTTTCAACACAAGTTTTTAACGTCTTCATGATAGTGGACCCAGTAAAAACGTTCCAGAATTTTGTCCAAAGTCTTGTTAACTCCAAAATGTACCCCTGAAGTTCCGTCATGTATTTCTTTTAATACATCTTTTACTCTTTTGGAATAACCAGTTGGCTCTTAGTAGATTTTCCATCGGCACTTTCCCAAATTCTCTTCAGTAACCCATTTTCTACGGCCAGGGAGTTCCCCTGCGCCGATAACGCCTTGTAAATCAAACTCTTGTTCGACACTTCCTTCCATTCTGGCCTACATTCATCATTTTCTTTAACCGGTAACATTTCACTCGGTTTTTCGGTGTTGGTGTTTGTTTGGAGTCGTTTCCCAGTTGTCTACCTTCTACTAATAATAGTAATAGTTTCTTTATTTTCTCCAAGAACTTACTCATAACATTCTCGAAGCCACCATCCTCTTTTGACGATTGCTTATGGTTTGGGTCTCCAGACTCTGACACTAATTACTTCACTGATTAGGTAACTCAAACAACTAAAACTCTTTACAACTCTCACCAATAATCACTATCTAAATCATATCACAGTCAATCTTAAACTTAAAAACTACTACTACTAATACCAGCCTTTAGATATCCGCAATCTATTCCTGCAAAATCCAGAATAAACGCGATAAACCTTTTTCCCGAAGAGCAGCGTAAAATCTAGAATCAGTTGTCTAATTCTGTACACCGTGGCGAAAGCGCCACTTTCTGTGACAATAGCTGTCAACTACTAAAACTTGTCCAAACAATAGAATAATATGAATGACGTTTGAGTTTAATGAATAGGAACAATAGTCAATAGATAATAGACGGAGGGCCAGCGCCGAAAAAATTCTATGAATTTACTAAAGCTAGTTTTTGGTCGAGATAACTTAGGTAATGCAACGAATTTACTAAGGCTAAAAATCATTATACATATTGTCGCAACAACAAGAAAAACAAGACGAACAGGACAGGCGAGAAAAAGAAAAACAAGACGAAGAAGCTAAACGACAACAAAAACAAAACGAAGAGGCCAAGCGACAAAAAGAAAAACAAGAAGAAAAAGCTAAACGACAACAAAAGAAACAAGACGAAGAGGCCAGACGACAAAAAGAAAACAAGATGAAGAAGCCAGGCGACAAAAAGAAAAACAAGAAGAAGAAGCTAGACAACAAGAAGAGGCTAAACGACAAAAAGAAAAACAAGAAGAAGAAGCTAGACGACAACAAGAACGGCAAGAAGACATTGGACAACTGCAGAGAATATTACAAACCATACAAGGATATGTCATTAACCTGGAATAAAAGATTAAGGAAGTTAAAGCCGAAGTTAAAGAAGATGTTCAAGAAGTTAAAGACGATGTTCAAGAAGTTGAAAACGACGTTCAACAATTAAGACAAGAAGTTGAGGACCAAGTTCAAGCACTTGAAGATAAAGTGAATAAATTAGAAATACAGTCCATCAATCCAGTTAGTGTTGGGACATTCTCTAGTATGAAGATAAAACCACCAACTTTTGACGGTTCTACATCCTGGACCATATATATCCGACAATTTGAAGCTGTTGCAAATACCAACGGATGGAACGACCAAGAAAAAGCTACAGCACCGATAGTAGCACTACGAGGACCTGCCTTAGACCTTCTTCAGTCCATTCCTTCAGTATACCAACAGAATTTGTAACATTTGAAATGTCACAACAATATAATTATGTTCTTAATTATTTTCATATATTTTGGAATCATTTAAAAGTACTATTTCGTACACCTAGCAACATCTATGATTCTTCTGACTAGTTTTCCTAACCTAATACCGAAAATTCTGTTATTAAGGTTATTTCCGAGAAACCTGTAGCGCTGTCATTTTTATAATTTCGACAAGCTTGACAGACGAAGAAAAGAAAAGACAGAACCAATTTGGGTACTTTTGACTGGGCCTTTCTCTTATGCCTTGGGACCGAAAAGGTCGTCCAAATTTTTAATCTTAAAAATCTTTAAATTTTGTCTTTATTTTTGGCCATCCAGCCCATAGTTTTGTAAATTGACTAGCCAGAAGAGTGATTAATCGTGTCTGCTAGAGAGTTTCCTGGAAAATCAACCGATTGTTGATTTTGTGAAGATTTTTGAAAGTGAGGTTAACTATCGGCCGTTCAGGTATGTAAATCCCTTTTTCTCTCTGATGAATGAGTCCTTATATTTCTTCAATTCATCCAGGCAACTTTGGGCAGGGCGAAAATCCGTGACTGCACTTATCCAAGTGAAAATTGACCAATTTGAGACCATGCTGTTCTACATCTCAGAGTAAATCTGGGCCCCCTTTTCAAGGAAGGTTGGTGTCCTATAAGAAGTTGATCCCCAACCATTATTTGGTTGCCTCCAGTCAGTTTGGTACTTCTATATCTCAAATTTGTGAAAACTTCCAAGGACTCCGTCCAGGCTTGTATAATTATTTACCTATGGGTCTCTTAAATGTGCCATATTAATTACCGTAACTTACCTTTTTTCTTTATCGCCCCCTATCGATTAGCTTTATTAGCTAATTAATATCTTTGTAAATATTAATTACCGTTACTTATTATTACCTTTTTTCTATTGCCTCCTATCGTTTAGCTCCATTAGCTAATTAATGTCTTTGTAAAATCAATTACCGACTCGTTTACCGTATAGTAGTATTTGGCTAGAATAGCTAACTACAGTTCAAATATAATTATTAATTTAATTAATTAATCGTTATCATAATCAGATATTTACCTTTATTATCGTTTTCTTCATCATTATCTAGTATCTAATAATTATGTATCATTATTACAATTATTATAAATTTTATTTCCTTTATATCGAGTACTGATCGATATAATATAAGTGGGTTCATTAACCTTTAAAAGGTTAATTTAACTTTTAATTTCAA